ATCCATTTTAGTTTCGAACAAGAATAAGATGTCAGGGTCCTCCTCCTTCTGAATATTCAGAAGGCCATGAATTGCCGCGCCGTTCCCCAACCCGCAGCAATTCCATGCTATTATCTTCATTTTGACTTATAGGGCTCTTCCGACAGCCCCGCGTCGTTCTTGGATTCCTCAGAAGTTGCCTTCCCCTTGCTTGCAGCACGCACCTTTTTATGAGACATGAGAGCATCGCCATCCTCATCCATCCAATCCTCACCATCTCTCTTCCTACTAGACTTCGCACCAGGACTAGCTTGCCCCCCTTCTGCCTCTCCTCTTGTGGTCTTTTCTTGTAAGTACGTTGCTTGTGCTTCTGCTTCTCTGCTGATCCATCAGCTGCACCTGTCCCCTTCATGGATTGCATGGGGCTATTCACGTTCCCTCCAACAGCCGGCACCTCCTGCGGCTTCTTCTCCTCCAAAGCTAGTAAATGTATTTTTTGCGACATGCTAGGAGACCCCACTGGGATTTTGGAGTCAGTATTCTTCAAGGGCTTGTCATTTTATCCATTGTGCTAGGCATCTTCTTCCCCAATTTATCTATATCCATCTGCTCTTCCTTCCTCCAAGACGGCGCGTTGCTCCATGACCGACGACCATCGCTGTCACTCCTAGAAGCACCTTGGCCCCATGAACCTGAGCCACCCCTTCTTGGCTGAATGGAGAATGAGGCTCCTGGTTCCTTGAAACTTCACTGCCAAATCTGTGCTTTGGAGGGATGAAGCGTAGATCCTTGCCAAAAGGTTTTGAAACATTTGGCCCTAGCTTCACCGAACAAACTTTGTCAGTATGGTTGATGATCCCGCAATTGTAACAGAAGTCAGGCAAGTATTCATAGCAAAATGTACACCACCGATCCTCCTTGTCCTCCCTAATGCTCATTGTCATACCTCTTATCAACGGTTTTCTTGTCCAAGCGGACTTTCAGATGAAGGAATCTACCAGCAGCACAGTCTCCATTCTCAACATCAACCTCCATGAAACTCCCCACCATATTTCCAATCATAACCACCATCAATTTGTTCATCAGTCCCATAGGGAGGCGGGACACACGGAGCCAAACTGGGATAAAGGAAAAATTGATCTCATCAATAGATTTTGTACCATCTGTAAGAAAAATAGACCCTAGGCCCATTTACTTTGGATTTTGGTGTTTGATGACCAACACAATCAAATTGGACTAATGAATTTGCAAGTAATTGTTTTGTAGTTCAATATGGTGCAAGACGTGACTTGGACGAGGGCAACATGATGATCCCACGATCAACACCAAAAGCAAGACCCTAGAAGCACAAGAGAAGACCCAAGATATCAAGCATAGTCCAAGCACGAAGATGGGAACCAAGCCAAACGCAAGATCGCGAAGAAACGACCTCGACAGAGGTGACCGGATGCGGCCCTTATAGGGACCGGACGCGTCCGATCAGTTGCTCGGCAACAGCAGGCGTCAGCAGTTATGACCGGACGCTGAGCGAAGCAGTGACCGGACACATCGATGACACTATTCTTCGTCACGGCAATATTTTCAACGTGACCGGACACAACAGCACTAGACGATCGGATGCACAAAGTACAGCGTCCGATCGAGTCCAGAGAGGTTACAGAGCGGCGTCAATGCGACCGGACGCGTTCGATCGAGTGAGACCGGACTCGGCCCAGAGTCCAATCAACGCGCGCGCTATAACGGTCGGGACGATCGGACGCGTCCGGTCAGGACGACAAGAGCATACGGTCAGTAGCAGAAAGCTAGGTTTCGCCCCTAACGGCTATTTTCTCGGTGGGGCTTACAAATAGACCCCCCAACCGGCCATTTGAGTTGTGGAGAGCTAAAAAAACATACCAAGGGTGTTGATACACCATTTTAGTGATCTCCACTTACATAGTGCTTAGTGATTCATTAGGTGATTAGCGTAGGTGCTTTTATGAAGTGCTTATGTTGATTAGACCACCGCTTGTGTGCTTGTTTTAGATTTAGGCCTAGTGTTTAGTGATGTTTGCATACCTCTTACCACTTGGTGCTTACGCGCACCATTGTTATACATCGGAGGAGCTTGTAGTCTTGCGAGATTACACCAATCGTGTTTGTGGTGCGACCGCTACCGTGTACCGGAGGGAACAAGGCTCACGGCGTTTCGGCCGGAAGCTTGATAGTGAAGACGGTGGGGAGCATCCGGGAGAGGCTTGCCGGAAGGCACGTCGGAGACCCACTTATGCGTGGAGAAGGCCCGAGGCTATCCACGGAGTTACCTGATCGGGAGCTTGGCCCTTACGAGGGATTCCTTGCGGGGGGCTCCAACGAGGACTAGGGGGAAGCTTGCGCGCTTTTCGATACCTCGATAAAAATACCGGAGTCATCGACGGAAGTTTACATATCTCTACCTTATTCTTTATCTTTCGCATTTACATTGCAATTTTGGTTTGTGCTTTACTTTCCTAGCTTAGTGATAGGCTAGTTGATAGGTTTGGAATTTAGGTTGCATAACTCCTTTTACGGTAGAGATAGCAACATACTAGCAAAAAACTATAGTTGCACATTTAGATAGTTTATCTTTTGCATATGTTTTGCTAATGGTAGAAAAAGAGGGCATAGCTTAGAGTTTTAAGTTGTCTAATTCATCCTCCTTCTCTTAGGCGTCACGGTCCCTTACACCATCAAACTTCGGCACCACCAGAAGCTCCTTAGAAATCATCCACGGACCCTCCTCGAGCGCCCTTGTTTTGCCCGATGCCTGTCTGAAGATGAACAGGAAGGTATTGTCTCCCATATCCTTGCATTTGATCCCTTTCGCCAGACACCAGATCCAGCCCACTGCCTGTTCAACCACCTCCGGTCTTGCCCAACGATCCGACAGAAGCTTCCCCATAGCCTGTGGTGGCAGTTCCTCCTCCTTGCCTGGATTCAGATCAATCCGGACGCTTCTCTTCTCTGCCACCGAGAGTTGCAACTTCTCCATCAATCCCTCCACATTCTCCATCACGAACTCCTCGATGAGACTGGGATCCCCTAGATGAGGCCCTGATGATCGTGCACACTAAGCGCTAGCAACTGGATGTGGGGTTTAGGGATTTTTGTGGACACTGGGTGCAACACGATCAGCAGGAAGGACCTAGGGAGGATCGAACAAGATCGTGAGAAGGAAATTAGGAGGGAGATTGATGGAAAGAGAGCACGAAGAAATCCTACAGTGCACTATCGCCACGAGATGCTCTCGAGTTGCCTAGGAGGCCTAGGCACCGAGACAACCGCCGCCGATGTTGCGAACCCTCGCTCATCTGGACATCTACCCAAAAGAAAATCTAAATATTTATTTACGGAAAATAGCTGCGAAAATAGATGGTAGGGCGGGCATCGTTCCTCTGTTCGGTGGGGCCACTCACTATCGTTTAGTACTCCTCTTCCGTTGAAGCTGCGTGTAGCTACCGTGGGATGGCGGATCGACGCTGCTTCGTTGGCGGAGCCGATTCCGCTCCTGGCTCCAGGCACCAGGCTGCAGCTCAGCTCGCCTCGCCTCCTTCCCCGCGCTCCGCTGCCACCCGGCACCCGCTGACCCGCTAGCTGCTGCTGCTGCTTCCATTTCCCCTTTCCCTTCCCCGTCTTTCCACTGTGAAGAAGAACGGTTGCAGCCAGGCCAGCCGCTGGTGATTCCACCGCAGGAGAAGAAGGGAAGGCAGCCAGAACCAGTTCAAGTTGGCACTACCACTGTCGACCCGTCGATTGGATTTCTGATCCATCCCAGCCTACAGTCGATCCTTCCGCTGGTAAGAAACCTTAGCTAGGTGTATTTTTTTTCTAAGACTTACTTGTGCTGGGGGCTGGGGCATAGATGGATCTATTTACCTAGTACCTGCTTGTATGGGCAATCAAATCTATTCTTCTTGGAAAGAAAAAAATGCCTATTTAACCGTACAACCATGCCCAACGCAATTCGTCCCTCCCTCATAGTCATAGAGGTAGATGACGATTGCACTCTCTCATTTTCCAAGATTTTTTTAGGAATAGGAACATTTCAGCATTCCTTGGTCCGGTGCAAAGCTCCACCAGTGGTAGTGGAGATATAATGTTCCTCGTTAGGCACGATGGCATGTAAACAATGCCACAGAAGCTCATGGGATTCATTGCATGATAAATACGGAGGTAACAAAGTTAGCTACCTAAACACACCTTTTGGCAAATTTTGTAGTGCTACCTATTGCAATATTTTTATTCTTTTTCAACATGCTGCTATTAAAATGGGCAAGTTACTTCTTATCTTTGTTCCAATCTTATACAAAATGAGAACTTTAAATTGCAACGTGGGTCCTAGTCAAAACTTTTTCTAGTATATGATATTAATGTGGAGTTGTCTCAGCTCACAAACTGTGTTTTTATTGTAATGAATTAGGAAATAAATATAAATAACAGCACGGATGATGAAATTATACTAGTGCCAGTTTCTTGTGTAAAGCCAATACTCTCAAATTGATCAATTAGCTGAGCTAACATAGTTTGACAAGTCCATGTACATAAGAAACTTTTAATTTGATAACTGGATGGACTAGTTAATTAGTTACAAGGTGCCTGCAGCAACACTTTTACTCTTTTCTGCCCCTATTTGCTTCCCCAAATCCTAGACAAGTGCAACTCCTGGTTATTCTTGCTAGCGTATCTTGTGAAATTTGTATACCTCATTCGTTTATGTGATTTAAAATCTCTTGAATTGCATTGTTAACTCAATATATCATTTATTTGGTAAATTGCATCCTTAACTCGCTTGTGCTTATTATAACCTAGAATAGACAGCCAAGGTTCAGTATTTCCTGATTTTGATATTTTCTCTTGGATTTGGATAATAATATAAAAATGCTAAAAAAAAGATGCATCTCTTTCAGTTTCCTCTGAAGTATGATCTATAAACAACTGAGGAGGGCACGAAGGAAATAGTGACATAAAACTTGATTTGGCCAAAGATCAATTGTTGGCTCACAATGGCTCAGCAGACAGCTTCACCGTTGAATGATTCAGCAGTTCTTGATGTCAAGCCCTTGCGTATGTTGACCCCCATGTTCCCTGCACCACTAGGTCTTCACATATTCACCCCTCAAAACTCACCTTCAGTTGTCTGTGCGACCCCATTTGGACCGTATGCTGGAGGCACTGGATTAGGGATGGCTGCTGGTGTTCCATCAATGTTTGCAGCACCAGCTGCTCCTACAGATCCCAGGGGAGAGCCTGATAGAGTTAATACAAATGGAGCTGCTCATGCTAATGGTACTGCAACCAACAGTTTGGCCACTCCTTCCTTACAAACTCCTCTGTCAGCCAGGACACCGGAATCCAGTAAAAGGAAGAGGGGCAGACCCAAGCGTGTGTCAGATAATATGGTTCCTTCAGCTACTTCAACTCCTCTGGCTCCCACGGTTTCTCCAATTTATTCACTTCCTAAAGTTCCTTCACCTCCTCAAGAAAATAATAATGTTGTTTCCCTGACACCTTCTTCAGCCACCCCACAGGAATCTGGCAAGAGGAAGAGGGGACGGCCCAAGCGTGTGCAAGACATTCATGTCCTGGCAACTCCTTTAGCTCCTCAAGCTGATAATACACCTATCCTTGAGACGCCTCCTGCACCCACTGTACATGAATCCGGTATAAGGAAAATGGGACGTCCCAAACGTTTACAGGATAGTTTGGATACTTCAACACCTTCAATTCACTCAAAAGATAGTGAGCCCACTTCCCAGACACCTGCGACCACCTCACCTGAATGTGGTAAAAGGAAGAGGGGACGTCCAAGGCGTGTGCCCAATGGTTCGGCAGCCCCAAGTCATCCAGGTTTCTCGATAGATGATGACACTGTTGATGCAGCAAAACGTGGACAGCCTAGGAAAATTGATACCAATCTGTTGCAGCTTCCAACTTTATCTTCAGATGATCCTAGGGAAGCTGCAGATAATGTACTCATGATGTTTGATGCACTGCGGCGGAGGCTTATACAGCTGGATGAGGTGAATCAAGCTGCAAAGCAGCAGCATAACTTGAAGGCTGGGAGCATCATGACTAATGCTGAACTTCGTGTCAATAAGAACAAGCAGATTGGAGAGGTTCCTGGTGTTGAGGTTGCTGACATGTTCTACTTCAGAATTGAGATGTGCCTGGTGGGGTTGAATAGTCAGAACATGGCAGGTATTGATTACATGTCTGCCAAGTTTGGTAATGAGGAGGATCCTGTGGCTATTAGTGTTGTGTCAGCTGGTGTGTATGATAATACCGAAGATGATCCATATGTTCTAGTTTACACTGGACAGGGCATGTCTGGTAAAGATGATCAAAAACTTGAGAGGGGTAATCTTGCACTGGAGAGGAGTTTGCATAGAGGCAATCCAATTAGAGTCATTCGCAGCGTAAGGGATTTGACTTGTCCAACTGGTAAGATATACATATATGACGGCCTTTACAAGATCAAAGAAGCCTGGGTGGAGAAAGCGAAATCTGGTTTCAATGTTTTTAAACACAAATTGCTCAGGGAACCTGGCCAAGCTGAAGGCATTGCAATGTGGAAGAAAACTGAAAAATGGAGGGAAGATCCATCATCTAGAGACCATGTTATCTTAGGCGACGTGTCATATGGTGTGGAAAATAAGCCTGTTTGCCTTGTAAATGAGGTTGATGATGATAAGGGTCTTAGCCAGTTCACCTATATGACCAAATTGAACTATGGGAACCTGCAGAGCTCGATGAGAAAGATGGAAGGATGCAAATGTGCAAGTGTATGCCTCCCTGGTGATAACAACTGCCCTTGTACACACCGAAATGCTGGTGCGCTTCCTTACAGTGCTTCAGGTATACTTGTTAGCCGTATGCCTATGTTATACGAGTGTAATGATTCCTGCATTTGTTCAAATAGTTGCCGGAACCGAGTTGTACAGAAAGGTGCCCGGATCCATTTTGAAGTGTTTAAGACAGGAGATCGTGGTTGGGGTCTTCGTAGTTGGGATCCAATTCGAGCTGGAACATTTATCTGTGAATATGCAGGTGAAATCATTGACAAAAATAGTGTGAATGAAGAAGATGACTACATCTTTGAGACCCCTCCTTCTGAGCCGAGTTTAAGGTGGAACTATGCACCAGAATTACTGGGTGAACCTAATCTTTCTGACTCAAATGAGACACCCAAGCAACTGCCGATCATCATTAGTGCAAAACGAATTGGCAATGTAGCTCGCTTTATGAACCACAGCTGCTCGCCTAATGTTTTTTGGCAACCAGTTTTGTATGATCATGGTGATGAGGGACATCCACACATTGCATTCTTTGCAATGAAGCATATTCATCCAATGACAGAGCTCACATATGATTATGGTCAGAGCCAAGGTAATGTTCAACTGGGATCCAATTCTGGTTGTCGGAAGTCTAAAAATTGCTTATGTCGGTCCCACAAGTGCAGAGGCTCCTTTGGATAATCAATCCTGTAATGAATGGATTTGGTCATATTTTGCCATACAAGGTTAGTGATTTCTTATTCCTTCCTCAACAGTACTCCAAAAGATGTTATTGTTCCATTTCCTGCTATCCCTATGATTCTGTAGTTCATGTGCCTAAGAATTGTGATGCTTCTGCATTGAGGGGCTGTGTGATGCTTATGATATATTGGTTAGGTTATATACATTCCAACTGGGAGTTTGTATGTTAGTTCCTTCCATTAAAATGAAATTTCAAATTTGGTATTAGTTTGTTCTTTTTTACACTTTGTAGTCAAATCAAAACTCACAAGACATTGGAATTAATTTTTTTTCCACGACAGGATACTCAAATTCCATTACCATGGCAATGAAATTAAAAAGCAATAAGTGTATAGATTGTGGAAACAAAATATTAAACGCTAAAACTACCAATGCCCCTGATCAGAAAGGGAACATGACAATATGGCAAAGTCCAACTTAACCAAGACAGCGAGCAACTACAGTGAATAAATGCTGCTTATTTACTCAAGAAATTTGACTTGGCCCATTTATGGTTGTACTCCTGGGCTGATAAAGTGTCCACAACAACAACATAGCCTTTCAGTCCCAAGCAAGTTTGGCAAAATCTAGGAGTTGGAGAATCGAAATGTATATACTGTTGATTACTAGTTGTTTTTAACACTTAAACTTGAAACGAGTATTATTTATCTGTGTAAGTACTACTATTATCTGTTCTGGAAGTTACGTCTGCTTGTTACTTGAAAGCATCCTTTTGAAAGTTAAGTTCTGCTCATTGCGGATAGTCACAGAAGCTTTTACATATGATTTTTTTTTACAAAAAAAGGCAATCATGGCAGAAATCAATACCCCTCTCAGTCCCCAACTTTGCTGTCATACCTAACATCTACAGATCTGTTTTAACTTTTAGCAAGTCATCCAATACTGCTGAGTCACTTTGCAGTTTTCCTGGTCTATGCAATCACTTTTCTAAGTGATGTTTCCACGCAATATCTTTACAGAAGCCTTTCTTAGCTTGAAGCTCCCAGCATCATTCACAAAAGACTCATTCAGTTTGGTCAAGTCTAGTGTTCCTAGAAGCTCTTTTGCTTAGGTATGTGACAGTTCACATGATTTTTGTTTCATAATACACCCAATCTGCTGAAAGAAGTCTCTTCTCATTTGTTCCATTTTTCTTAGCACAATTTTAGGAAGCTGGATTGACATGTGATAGATGGGCACGCTAGTTAAGCTCTAACCTTAGGAGTAGAGACCATCGCTGCAATCCGTTCAACTTTTTTATTTAAGTTAGCACTATCAAAGCCATTGTTTTTGAGGCGTCGCCTAATCGTCGCCTAGGCGTCGCCTAGGCGCCAAGGCGTGCTTTCGAGGGCTCAGGCGTCGTCCCTCGCCACGACCTCAGCCTCATGATGGCGTCCGCCTCAGCCAGATTAGGGCGTCGCCTAGGCACGAATGGCGCGTCAGGCGGACGCCTAGAGCACTCCGGCGGACGCCATAATCTAATTCGGGGAGGCGCAAATCGGACGCTGGCGCGAGGAAGGGCGCGAAATGACCATGACCATGATAATCGACCACGCGGGCGCTGGAATTATGCGACCTCTGGCTGCGGAAATCGACCGCCCGAGCCATTACCGCGAGGGGGCGAGGGAGACCGGAGAGAAAGAGAGAAGGCGGCGGGCGAACCTCCGCTCTCGCCTGCTCCTCCGCCGCCACACTCAGTTCCACCTACCGGCCTCCCTTCCGAGAAGAAGCCGCCCAGGCGAGGGAGACCGGGAGAGAAAGAGGGAAGGCGGCGGGCGGACCTCCTGCTCCGTTCATTGCTCTCCCTCCGCCGCCACTGAGTCCACCACCGCCTCCTCCTTCCGAGAAGAAGCCTGCCCAGCGAGGGAGACCGGAGAGAAAAGAGAAGGCGGCGGGCGGACCTCCTGCTCCCGCCTCGCTGCTCCTCCGCTTCACTCGAGTCCACCGCCAGCCGCCTCCACCGAGAAGAAGCCTCCGCTCGCCACTCTCAGCCCCCCTCCAAGATTTGCCTCCGGTCATGCATGCTGCCACTTTGTGGTATGCCCCCGCCTACTCGCTTCACAGAATATAGTAATGCCTCGTATGCCCGCCGCCTCCGCTTTTGATCTGAATATTGTATGCCTCGTTCTCATGCTCTCTGCTATTGACCTCAATCGAATATTGTATGCTCATCTTTGGATGCCCGCCCCCTCCTCCTCCTCTCTAATATTTATTCTCGCACTTTGTTTATTCTTTCTGCTTTTCTTGATGCTTGCTTTTTATATTATATGGGTACTCACATATACAAATGCTCGCTTGTGCTTGGGCTGTCACACACCTGCTACAACAACAAAAGCACAGATCTTTCTTTGATCCCAAGATCGATCCAAAGAAGCAACATGGCAAGCACAGTTGAAGTACCTGAGTATGATCCCAAGATCATCCAAGCAAGGAAAGCAAAGTCCAATGATCCAGTGGAAATATGGCTATCTTGGCGGGACCCTGCTAGGAGAGATTGGGTGACATGTATCCTGTGTGTGGACATGAGGGTTCAGGAGGCATAAAGAGGTTCAAGCAACATTTGGTCGGGTGGATATGGAGATATTATCCTTTGTCCAAAAGTTAGCACCAAATCGGAAAGAGATGGAAGCTTACTTGCAAAAGAAGAGAAGAAGGCCTTTGTACTTGGATGGTATTGAGGAGGATGGGGAACCAAAAGATGAAATTGTGGAGGTAGCAATGCAGATGTACAAGCAAAGAAGAAGAAAGAAATGCCACACCAAAAGTGGCTGCAAAAAACCAAGTTCGGGACAACCGCTAAGAAAAGGCATGCTATCTTCCAATTCAAGGCTTCAACATAGCAAAGGTCAATTCTACACCAAAGACACCAAAGACCAATGCAACAAAGTCAGGTTGTTGGTATGCTTAGAAGAACACCTAACAGATAGTAGATCAAAGGCGTGCAAAGGACTTTCACCCCACCATTGAGTCCAAAGACAAAGACTAAGGAGGAGAAGCAATATGTGGATATGCAATGGGCACTGTGGTTCATGGAGTGTGGTGTAGCCTTTAATGCAAGAAATTCAAGGCAATTTGAAATTGCTTGTGAGGCAACAAATTTCAATATGGTTCAGGTACAAGCCTCCAACTAACCAAAGAAACTTTGGTGACCCTTTGCTCCAAGAATGTGTTAAGGTGACAAGTGACATGAGGAAGGACCATGAGCAGGCCTCGGAAGCAATATGGTTGTACACTAATGTCGATGGATGGATCGATATGAGAGGGCGCCACCACGATTAATTTTCTTGTGAATGCGACCGAGAGGAACGTGCTTTTCTGGAGTCGGGTTGATGCATCAAGTGAAGTTCATAGTGCAACAATGCTAGCTGATTTGTTACAGGAGAAGATTGAGGACATTGGAAGGGACAATGTTGTTCAAGTTGTGACCGACAATGGCGCTAACTATAAGGTCACCGGTAAGATCTTGATGGATAGGATTCCCACACTGTTTTGGAGTCCTTGTGCTGCACATTGCTTGGATCTGATATTGGAAGAAATTGGGAACTTGAAGGCATTCAAGAAACCTATTGCACGTGCTAAGCGTGTCACCAACTTCATTTATAGGCATGGAAGGCTTCTTAGTGCAATGAGGGCTCAAACAGGTGGGACTGATCTTGTTAGGACAAAGAAAGACTGATTTGCCACATCATTTCGATATTGAAGAGTTTGTACAAGAACAAGGATGCCTTGAAGAGCTTGTTTGTTAGTGAAGCATGGATCGGGAACAACTTGTGTACAATCTAGCAGAAAGTCAACAAGTGCAAGATATTAGCTATCTATCGAGTTTTGGAACTCAAGTGAAAGATTGTCTAAGAGCTTCAAAATTTCTCTTAATTGTTTTGAGGGTCATTGATGGTGATGAGAAGCCCGCAATGCCGAGGTATGGGCTCTAATGAATCATGCAAAAGAGAGGATAAAGCAAAGCTTCAATATACCAACCAAGGATGGCCTACTCAAGAAGATCATGGAAATTATTGAGAGGCGTTGGGTGAAACAAATGGACCATCCATTGTATGGGGCTGCACTATATTTGAACCCGGGAAAAAATTTTCCTCCGATAAAAGCTAATGATGATGTCAACATGTTGGGCGCCTAAGAGGTTGTTTTATTGAAGTGCTTGGAAGAATGATACCGATGTGGAAACACAAATGAAGATCAATAGGCGTGCCATTGAGTATGAAGAGCAACGTGGAGAAGCCTTCTCAAACAAAATGGCAAAGGAAAGCTATGACAAAATGAATCTCGTAAGTCTTGTTTATCTCACTTGTAAATTTCAAAGAACTTAATTGCATTCCAAACACCTAATATGTGTTGTCCTTTTCATCCAGCTTGATTGGTGGCGTTTTATGGTGGTAAAAGCCATTGAACTACAAAGACTTGCTAAGCGTATAGTTAGTCTTTGTGCTTCATCCTCGTGATGTGAGAGATGTTGGAGTACCTTCACATGTGAGTATCCTTGTGACTAACAGTTATATTTAGATGCATACAATCTGATTTTTGTTTTGCTTCCCATCCGATTTTTTTTGTAGATGCATACAAAGAAAAGGAATAGGTCTTGACAAGAGATTGAATGATATTGTCTTTGTTTCATACAATCGGAAGATGAGAACAAGGTTTCACTTTAGGCGTGAGAAGGCAGGGCAAGAAATATGACCCCTTGGTCATTGAGGAGTTCGATTGGGACAATGAATGGGCTGATTCATTGCATGTGCCTGCTCCGGTGCTCGAGGGTCTGATCTTGTTGATGACCTCACATGGCATGTTGATGAAGCCATCGGTGCATCACAAGCGCTGCAGGTCGTAATCTTCCTAGGAGAGCTGCTGCTCTGTTCAATATTATAGACGCCCAGAATGTTCCTGCTGCTGCTGCTGTCATGCTTGAAGATGGCGAAGAGGAAGACGAAGTTGAAGACCCACATGATGATGCGTATGAGCGAGTGTGAAGAAGCTGGCAATGTTCTCACATCGATCAAGACGAATGCCGATCTTGATGAGTTTGATGATGGATTTTGAGTGTCAAATGTAGATTTGCACTCAAATTTTTTGTGTCCTACACCCTTGTCCTGCACTCATGTTGTATGGCTTTGGTGTAGTTGACTAGTAATTAGAATGTTTTAGAGTCCAAGATTTCAGACTTTCGGTCTCTAAGTTTGTGGACTATTAGAGACAAACTGTGATGTCATTTGTCATGCTCATGCATGAACTAATGCACTAAGCCACTAATGCTTGCTAATTTGTTGTATTGCCTCTTGTGTATTGTTTCTTATTTAATTCTCAGCAGCTGGTAACAATGTAACATGTTCATTTACATTTCTTCATGTCATAGATTGCTGAATTTTGGAATTGTCATGTAGTTTGCTTCAAGGGGGATGGATGCTACATGGGAGAAGAGCTTTTGGAAAGGGAAGAAAGGAACCTGGGCTCCAGAATTGGGAACAAACCAGGTATGTATGTGCTGCACTTACTATATAAAACTCTAGCTTACGGCGCCTTACAACGTGTGTATGGCGTCGCCTAGGCGTCCGCCATAAACGCCTAGGCGTTGTGAAGGGGGTCGGGCGCCGCGCCTCGCCGCGGCGCCTCAAAAACATTGATCAAAGCCATGTACTCCCTCTTTTACAAAATGTAAGGTGTGGTTTGACTGGATACTGTCTCCAAGATTATACTTTTGTCCATTAATCTCTCATGTTATATAGCCATGACCAAAGAAAAAAAAGCATCACACCATACTTTAAATTTGATCTAAGGTACTAATCTTGTATCGTATAATCTACAAAACTTTCGGCGTTAATCAAAGATTATGAAGGTCGGGGCATGATATGCATGTGCACCTTCCAAAAAGGAGTTGTCTTGATTTATTGATGAGTGTGACATTTTGGTTTTGTCCTAAGTCAAAAGATCTTATGTTTGACCAAGTTTATAGAAAAGATTGTCAACATTTCTAGCACCAAATAGATTTACTATGAAATGTCATGATAAACTTAGTAATATTTATTTGATATTATAAACATTTGTATTTTTTGTATAAACTTAATTAAATGTAGGATTGTTTGACTGAGGACAAAACAAAAATGACATTCCATGAGGGAGGTAGTACCAAGTTTGCAATTATAGTTCCACAATTATCTCCCATTCCAATGATCCCCTTCTTTATGGTCCATATATGATGTATACTACCTCCGTCCCAACAACTTCTACAGTTGTTTTAAGTCAAACTATTTTAAGTTTGACCGAATCTATCAAAAAAAAACATTAGTATTATGACACCAAATTAATATCACTATATACCTCATGAAATATTTGGTGCTTAAGATAGTTTGACTTTAGGTGATGTTAGGAATTAATTTATTTTAGGACGTCAAATTTAAGATAGTTTGACTTTAGGTGATTGTAGGAATTAATTTGTTTTGGGATGGAGGTAGTATCTTAATTGAACATACTCTGATAAAATCACTACACAAAGGGGAATTTGAAGTTTTGAATTTCAGTTTTTTGATACTGAGAATGAAATGAACTAATAATGCTGTTTCGTCGTTTTCTTCATAGATTAATTCTCAGGCCAGAGTTTCCCAGACGATGTTGTGGAAAGACGTCATTATGCAGCTCCATTGTTTCTGTATGCCTTTACGTGGCATTATGACCTGTTGAATCTACTGTTGCACAAAACTAGTGAAAATGCCAGAGTGTGGAATGTGGACAGGTACAGATGTTGATACAGAGTGTGGAATCTGTACAATAGCCACAAGTTTCACGAACTTCATCAATGTTGTGTAGATCTGTTTTTTTTTCCTTAAAAAAAGAAATTAATTGGAGACTGTGTATGGGTCGATGGACGGCCCAAATGTCTTTTAATATGGAAACCATAGAGGTAATCGTAAGCAACTTTTAGTTCAACAATATTCCATGATAGAGGTGCAGCACACAACCAAGACATCAAGTGAGTTCAGAAACATGTCACAGTCCACATGTACACAAGCTCAACAGTCAACACGTCCAGACTAGTATACAACAGCAGCCAGCAGTCTGATTCGACTGATGTTTACAACGAGCAAGGGCAACATCTGGCGAGAACAAGCCTAACAGGGGACCTCACTCATGCTTTGTTGTTGGGCTCAAGAGTCTGGAATACGTCCGAGCGAGTCACAATTCCTGTTACCATCATGAAAGGTAAACAAAGGTTATGATGTGGCCATGTGGGCATTATTTGCAGAATCAGAGCAAGAAACTTCTTATATGTACTGCTATGTATTCTCATAAAATTCGCAGGGAGTAAAGCCAGGAGTGTCAGTAGCAGGGTGGGTAATTTCAACTAGGTACATTTTCAACAAAAAACAACTGGATAACAGGTTCCTGAAACAAGTTCAACTATGTTTAGCTTCCACCTGAATGAAGTTAACTAAATCACTAGCATTGTATTGATTGCATCGTGATTGCTTTAGTGAAGCCTTATTATCAGTGACTCACAGTTTGCAGTTAATTTTGTCAAGGGCGTGTTTTAAAAAGTTAGCACTCCAAAGTCCAACAAACCCAAAACAGAGCTCTGAACAAAGTAAAACAGTATTCTCTGGGCCAGCTAAGTAAAAGTTTTGTTGCTCTATTGAGATATAGACTTTATTGAAAGTAAGCAATCTGGAAAACCTTACCGATCACGTAGTGCTGTTCATTCACAACCGGTATCCTGTGAACCTTCTCCTTAAGCATTAGCGCTGCAGCCTCTGCTCACATAACCAACAACATGTTAGCAAATTCTTTTTTTTTTTGAACTTCATGTTAGCAAATTCTTGTAACGACTTCAAGTGTCCATGTTGGTTATTATATAGGGTAGCTAGAGGGGAGTAAAGCTTATTACCCAAGACAGTCTTATACAGTGTTAGCGTTATCGCAGGAGATGACATGACTTCACCTACAGTTGACTCCATCTTCATCATGACAACAAGCATGAAAAATTAGTCGATACAGCATGCAAACCAAAAGATATAAAAAATGGCTGCATCTTCATTAACATGCTCAGACTGTACAGGGCCCCTAAATTTCCAGGGCCTCAAAAAATCAGCCCAGCAGGAGAAGGCCCATGTATTCGTGTGAGACCGGAACTGTTTGTATAATTTTAATTTTGTTCTTTCATCTTTTGATTGACGCCATGTCTTCCGCAAATCGATTTAGAAAATATAAATCTGGTTCCCAAAAGCGTAAGAAGAAACAAAGGATCGAGGAGTCAACTCAATCTCAGAAAAGAGCAATGGATAGTTTATTTATTATAAAAGAATCGCAAATGTCTTCCGGTAATCAGACACTTGATCAAGCTCCTGCACTTGATAGTAATATTTATTTATTTTGAACATGCACTTGATAGTAATATTGAAAATGATCCTAGAGATCATGCTTAAAGAACACACTGTGAAAGGGCAATGTAAAACATTTCCATTTCCATTTACAACATCGATCCACAGTATGCCAAATGCAGGTCATGCAGTTTGCATTTAGGCCCCGTTACACCTCAATCCATATGTATTGGAGTGAAATAGAACGAAATTTAGTTTAATTCCACTTCAATCCACTTCAACACATGTGTATTGAGAGGAATAGATACACATCCAAACAAGGCCTTAGTGAATGTGGTATCGTTGTCCATCCCCATTTTTCATGATTGGATAACTCTATCAGTAATTAAGAACCTCCCAGCTAAGCAGCAATTAACAGGCATAAAAAGTGTGACAGGCACCAAGGAGAGGAGCAGCGAGTGAACTGACCCCATTGGGCGCCTTGGCCTTGTCCTTGTAGGAGATGACCCCAATGCACCTGCCGTCGTCGTCGACCACGGGCAGGCCAGAGTACTGCTGCGCGGCGAAGAATGCCTCGACCTCCGCGAGGCGCTGCCCCGGCGTGGCCACCTGCACGGGGCGCGACATCACGTCGGTGAGCTTCGCCGCCGGGCTCATCTGCATGCCAACCGAACGATCGAGCAACCAATCAAATCATACCGAATTAATCCGAGAGCGGCCGGGTCGATGAATCGTCGGCGGGTGTGGAGAGGAGGGGACGTACCGTACCTGGCCAGAGGTGACGATCTGGGACTCGAGGTAGGCGCGGTGGTCGGCGTCGATGATGGCCGGGCGCAGGTCATCGAGCGCGGCGGACGCCACCAGCGCCGCGCCACGCCGCGCGTTGCCGCCCTGCAGGGCGCGCAGGCGGGCCGCCGGCACCGGTGCGCGCCGCTGCCGCGCCACTACTGACACCAGTGCCACGGCGGACGTCGGCGGGACGGGAAGGACCGCGGCGGCCTTGACGGCGGAGGAGGGGGCGGAGGGCGTGGACGCCATGGACCGGGGCGAGCAAGGAGCGCGGAAGGTGATGGCCGGACCTGCTGCCGTTTGGCGCTGGAGCGTCGCGTCGACCGTCGTCGTCTGTTGCGTGCTCGCTTTCTGCGGCGGGCGCTGCTCTACGTCTGCTCGTGCTGCCGTCTATGTTTCCTTGTATGTGCGTGTTCTCAGCCCGATTTACGTGGTGCGTGTTTCTGTTTACGTACACGATTTTGTCCATCCGCACGGTCTGTCCAGTTTTTGTTGCATGTCTGATGCAGTTTGCGTTTCCTCCGTTTTCAGTTTTTTTTTTTTTTTAGGGGCGTTTTCAGTTTTCGGTGTCGGCTTGGGCAGTTTGCGTCCCATTTTCCTTTTTCTGTCTCCATTTTCTTTCCTTTTTTTTCTTCGTTTTCTTTTTTCTTTCTGTGTTATAGATGCAGTTTCCGTTTCCTCCGTTTTTGGTTTCCAGCGCCTTCTTCTGATTTGTTTGTTGCGCCTGTCCTCGTCTACGGTGGGGTTTTATGTTTTTCATTCATCTATCTAAAAGAAATAATTATAATATTATAGGTCTTCGAATCTCTAAAAAACAAAGATTTTCACCGTCAAATTAATTATTGTATTGATGTAGTTTTGATATGAAAAATAAAATTTATTTTATTCAAACCTAAACGAGCTGATACTTGAATTATTCAAACTGTAAACTAAAACCTTGAGTAGTCTATTATCTAATCCGGTCTAAATAAATGTATATCCATGTGCAGGGCGCGCATAGTCCAATTAAATAAATGTATATCTTGAGTAGTCTATTAAATATATTTTATTCAACAAAAATGAGCTGAAAGTTCAATTAATCAAACCGTAAACAAAAATCTTGATTAGTCTATTGTCTAGTCTAGTCTAAATAAATGCACATTTGCAATCTACGACGAGGACTTCCATGTGGATATTTGATACTTTTTCTCCCGTTGCAATGCACGGGTATTATCTAAATGTAGTGTATTTTTTTAGATAAGACCTAGATGTAGTATATAGGTTGTAGAGGATTGAAGGTTGTCGCTCTGGACATATTCACAAAGAACAGATGGAGAAACAATAATAGAATTTGCATATGATCTTTTCCTTCAGTTTATTATTGTCATTTCTCTTTTATAATTGATTAGCAACTAAGTTAAAAACTTGTAAGACTTGGTTGTGTTCGATTGCAGAGGCCGGATCTTTTCCATTTTCTAATTTTTTTGGATGTACCATATTTCTAACGTATAATAAAAACAAGACAAAATGATATAGTAATTGAGATGGAAGGAGTAAATTTTTGATAGAAACCTTTACAAACATCTAAATTCATGCATGAGTAAGTTAAACCTCACATTGCTATATGACGAGTGAAGGACATATGGATAGCGGTGAGCGCATGATCAGACTAAGGGCATGTTTGGTTCCGCTGGGCTAAACTTTAGCCCTACACTTTTTTGCCTACTTTTAGCTATTGGGGAACCAAACAGGCGGACTAAAAGGGGATGACTAATTTTTACTCCCATTAGTCCATTAGCCCCTCAAGGTGGGCTAAAAGAGGCTAAAAGTACTTTTACTCTCTTTCTCTCTCCTCTCCCTTTCACATTTTAGTCACGTTTTTGCACCTGGATCCAAACAGTCATCTTGACTAAACTTTAGCATCTTTAGCCTATGGTCTAGTCTTTAGTCCAAAAACTAAAAAAAAGATGGCGCTTCAACTTCAGCGTCCGGCTTCTACTTCTCTTTCCTCTGCATAAAAAATAGGAAGATACACAAACATTCAAATAGGGATAGGAACAGCTCATTCATGGAAGTGCTCACACCGGTAACCGACACCAGTAACCGAAACAAAATTAACTTGTCATCTTGTGCGGTGGTCACTAGCTAGTGTCTGTGTGACTTGAGAGAGGGGAGGTTTTGTTTCGTTTAGTGATGCTACTTCCGCTGGACGTTTAGGGCGCGCGATTGGTTTCTTCTATCTAGACGTTGCTTGGCTCGCACAGTCGCACCAGCGACACCGGCGGCCAATGGCCAGGCTTTTCAGCTGCAGTGTCTCACCGGCGGCCAATGGCCAGGCTTTTCAGCTGCAATGTCTGCTACTCCATCCGTCCTAAAGTAAGTATACTTCTAAAGTTTAGGTGAAAAAATCAATGTTAGTGAGAAATTATATATATATATATATATATATATATATATATATATATATATATATATATATACTCCTACAAAGATATAACCATTGCGCTTTGGGAAAAGAAAAGTAAAAAAAATAAGTAAAGTTAGTTTGTCTTATATCTAGAGATATATTTATTTTGAAAAAAAAAATTGAACTTTAGAAATGTATTTATTATGGGACCGAAGGAGTAATTTGGTTGGCGTTCACGTGCAGCCAGGGCACAAGAGGAAAGGTGTTGGTTGGTTGTACCCGTTCGGCAGCTTTCGCTCTCACATCACATGCATTCATCCGCGCGCTTGCATTGCCGTCTGCATCGAGCGAGCCAGGCTCACCAGAAACCAAACTCGGTTTCGTTTGCTGGGAGCTACGCCGCGCCATTCGTTTTGCATCGCTGGGGACTGGACCAAGTCGAGAACCAAGAGACCAAACACCCGTAAACTGCATAAGACCAGCCAAGCCAGGCCAAATTCATTCGTTGGCTTGTCTGAAGATTTGCATCAAAATTCTATGGCGATAGTTGAACGAGGTAGAATGGATTTTTTTTCGAAGGGTGTGTGTGTGTGTGTGTGTTGCCCCTTGGCTATGCCGGCCCGGCACAAATGGGCCGCGGAGTGTAGCAGCGGACAGCAGGTGAAGCACTGCTGCCCACGGCTTCATATAGTAATGCAAACACATGATAACACAGCAATAAAACGAAGTCGGGGCATGAGCGCCACAGCGACATAGCTAACACAGCAAAGAATGTTTGGAGTCTTGGCACATGTTCAAGGATTACACCATGCAAGCTCAAAGGTACTGGTAGTTCGGGGAACAGTCTGAGGTCATCATCTACATAATCTTCGAGCCTTCTTTGTAGCACACCTAAGGTCTCGCCATCTCAAACCTGTTCTTCTCATCCTGAAAAAAAAAGGCCTGAATGTCAGCAGCACATAGGGATCACCAGGTTCCAAACAGACTATAATGCTCAGCACTAAAAAAAAATATTACAAATGCTTCCCTAAACAAATAGTAACTGTATACAGATGCGGGAAAAGGGGATCTGTATATCTGAATTCTGTTATTTATGATTTTATATACAAGAATTCCACTAGTGGCCATGCCAATCAAAAGCTTCAGCTACCTGTTCAGATCTCCTCGGTTGTGGCCCAGATCAGATGCTTTCTTTTAGAACACATATGGTGTTTCCTTAGCATTACAAACTTAGCAGAAGATGCATAAAAACAGCATGGAAAATAATTGACTTGCGACTCTATAGCTTTCTCGTCTTAACTATTTCAATGTAAATATGTGGTTGTCAAATGTTTCAACGCCAACTGCTCCCAGGACATTGGTGCTGCTTCAGACATCTATGTTCAGGAACTAGGAAAAATAAGATTATTCAGAATTAACATGAATGCTTTATATTGTTCTTCCCAAATACTTCAAAATGGCCAAGCTACATCAAATTTATATCAACCAAAGCATTTTTTTCAGCTACCAAATCAACTACTCGTATAACACAGAAAGCAAAAGCAAAATGGACAGAAGTTCCAAGACAGGAATTGTAGAATGTAGCTGACAATGTCGAAAGGAGAGGGGGGAAAAAATTCAACATATCATATAAACTCAAATTACCAAAAAGAAAAAGGAGCACGGCAGATCCTAATAAAGGAGCACAATCCTACTAACAGTGTTTCACTATTGTACAAAAGTAGACAATTAAAACATAATGCAAAAGATGCCAGATAATCAGCAACCATCAACTTGGGTGTACTAACAGTGTCTCCTAGTCCTAGTAGCAACAGATGGATATTAAAACCTGAACAATATTTGGGGCACTATGATTTTATTGTTTGTCTTTTTCCACACTTCCCCAACCAAAAGAGTTACTGCATAGAAGAGGAACTGATATGGAAATGGGGTCTATACATACATACAACAACAACAACAACAACAACAACAACAACAACATAGCCTTTCAGTCCCAAGCAAGTTGGGGTAGGCAAATGGGATCTATACATAAGTATTTGAATTCTAATGTTTCCTTAATTATTCAGAGATGTCCACTAGTGATTCAAGTATTCTATATGCCATTTGTAAAAAACTGCTTAGGAGTGTGCCTAACAGGAACACCATCACTTCGTTAATGTTCTGAACAGTAATGCCACATTAGAAGTCTCTGCTAGCCATTCAGATTTTCCATGGTTGTTGCCCAAGTGCTTTGTTTTAGAAATTATAAAGTAAAAAAAACACAAACTCTGTCAAAGACCCATCAAGAACAGAACAAATAACATACAGTCCCAAAATGCATGCCCAAGGCTTTGTTGCACTATTGGAGACATGAAAATTTTGAAAATTCACAAACAAAAGTTTATAAAAAAATAACATAAATCATCCAAATTGTCTTTCCAAATACTTCAACATGAAAATCCGCATTAAAGTTATAGAATATGAAGCAAGTTTTCACTCAATAAGAAATATTCTTAACACAAATTATTCTTAAATGCTTCCCACTCTTCCATACTCAGCATCATGATTCAGTACAAACTAAAACTTTTCCATAAAAAGCAAAATAGCATTACTGATGTCATGCCATGTAACCCAGAAAAAAAAGCAAAGCTCATACTAAAAACTACAGAATGACAAATTTCCTAGTGCTCTGAAGATTAACTTAACAAGCTGTACATGGCTAGCAGGAAAAAGCAAAGGTAATGAGACTCCTTTGGAAAGGGAAAAAATCATAATGAACTTAAAGGTATAACAAGAGTTTGAAGGTAGAATGAGTATGCAAATTCTATAGAAGTCAGGCACTTGGCGGCTTGGCGTATCTATGGATGATTCCTAGTTCATGCGT